ACAAATGAACATTCACCGATAGAGGGCATCGATTCCACATATTGGGTTTATTGTGTTCACAAACTTGCAAATTAGGAAGTCAATATGGTAAGAATTATGAGTACATAGCCCCCCAAATATTTCTCAAGTTCAAGATCTCCGCAAATCAATCTTCATTTCTACTTCATATATTAATGTAAATATTAACTACTCTTTAAATTTGTCGCTCAATATTTTTTCAAATTCCTACTACTTTCACAGCAAATCGTGAATGAGTATTTCCGGGCATTGTCTTTGTAATTTGCTCAGTTTATTCCAATTACTCATATATTCGTATTTTTTCCTTGATGACGCACACTCTTATAATACTATTAAACGCCTGAATTTTTAAATGCTGCTATTTTCTGAATGGTACTATCGTGTAATAAAATTGCATGTTTAGACCTTGGACGCAAATAGAAGCCAAAATCTCGTTGAGAGAGAACGTGAGCAACGAGAATTGTCCCTTAATAACGTTTCATTATCTCCCTTCATTGCATCTACCGTTCCGTTGATCCATGTAGGGAAGAAATGTGAGTTCAACATAGAGCTGATTTCAACCTAGGGCTCCATGGAAAGGCAGGGGCGGATACAGGATTTGTTTATGGGGGTTCCAAACTTGAAAATCGCCAGACTATTAGTAAGTTACAGCAATTCCAGGCACTGATTTGACGTCGAAGTAGTCATATATGTTGATAACTAACTACAATAGGTTATACACATTGTTTTCACATTTACATAATTTGTTACAAATAATGCACACAGCATGTCTGAAATTTTAAGCGCACCGGGAGGAAGCTCGCCCATAAAAGTGGCGGGACATTAGTTTTGAATTTCTCTTCCAATAAACGATCGAGGCTCTCAACTTAGTTTCCAGCTTCAATTTGCGTCACATGTTATTGCAGTGAGAGGGGCGCATAAAGTGGTGGCACTGTAAAGAAAAGAACGTTAGTTAGAGTTACTAGTATTTTACAGAACCAGCTGACCGACTTATCATGGCAAAATTGTTGATCAAAGTGCATTATTCCTACTATGGGAATATCGGTATCACGCCGATGTAGAATAGAATAGAATATTTTATTTGACTCGAAATAATGTAAGAAATTACACAACTTATGACAAAAAACCAAAATAGTAACGCACAAATACAACAAATACAACAATAATAATAAAATTAAAATTAAAAAGATGTTTAACAATTAGCATAATTTTTTGTATTGTAGATTTTATGTATATAGACTCCTAGACTGCTGGCAATGAAACTATCTTTTGAACTCATCAGTTTCTTAAACATGATCTGCTTAGACAAACTTTGAAATTCTTTGTGCATTGAGATTGCTCTCATAAATTTGCACCTAGCAGATTCAATCTCTGGGTTCCTGCAATCTAAGAAAGCATGCATCTCATTGCCAACAGCTAGATCATCACACAGCATGCATAACCTTTCCTCTGGTGGTACTTGTAAATACCTTGATTTCACTAATGGTAGTCTATGTGCAGAAATTCTGAATTTAGTGATGGCAACTCTGTGTTTGACATTATTTATATATTCCAAATATGGTTGCAAAGAGTATTCAGATTTCAAATTGTTATATGTACGTAGCTTGTTATTTTATTTTTTATGTAAGGTAGGAGACCACAAATCTTTTATGAATTTTTGCTTTAATTTATTATTAAAACTGTCAACATCATGGCCAATCTATTTTGTTTTAGTATTTTCTTGTAGTTTACGTACAAAATTTGTCCATGTGTTGCCTGTACTTTTGCTTTCATTGTTGTAGGCAGAATGCACTAACACATTACATTCATCTGTTACAATTCTGATACCTAATCATATGTCTGCAAATATCAATGATAATGGGGTAGCTTCCAAGTTCAGCTCTTGTCGCAATGTTGCTTGATTTTTTGTGAACTCCTAGTATGGTTTTACAAAATTTAATGTGTAATTGTTCAAAACAAGTTTTATCATCAAATAATTTTGCCTGCAACAAATGTCCTATGAAGACTTCGTTCAGTATATCAAGAATGAAATTGAATACATAAGTAGAATGGGTGTTATTCGATTAGGCCAAAAAGAAAATGTGTTGTAGCTCTCAGCGACCGACCGAAAAATATGGAATATCGGGACGCGTTTTTTTTTTTTTTTTTTTTTTTTAATAAGCCCAAATATTAAAAACTCACCATTTTAAGCAGTAAAAAAGTGTTTCCTCTAAAAATTAACGATCCCGGACCGTTGTTTGATACCCAGGGTCTCCGAGGGGGATAAGTGGCGACTTAAAACCTCGGGTTGATCTGTATTTCTCTAAAAAAAAAAAATCCGACCGACCGACCCAATTTTTCAATTTTACGACTTGAGGGCAACACAAGTGTTTTTTGGCCTAATTAGCCTTATTAGTTTTTGACGATGAGAACTAAAAGATTATGTATGTGCCACCAAATAATCGCTTTAAACAGCTTATCACTGACAACACACGATCAAACGCCCGGGAGGGTTGCCGCTGTACATACACCGTCTTCGAGTAGTTTTTGGCGAATTTCCCGTCCGTAAATGCTCGGTCTCTACGATTTATAATATTCGACAGTTCATTTTTAGTCGCGGATCGGTCGCTCTTACGCTTTCCTGGCAGTATATTATCGGTGGTAACAACCCGTTTGGCGATATTATATATACCGTTATACGATATTTTATGGTATTTGTATTTCTTTGTATTTATGTTCCTTACCATACAAAAACCCTCTGAAGGTTTTTAGTAGTGTAATAAAGTTATTATTAATAAAAGCTGTCTGAAACACCACTTCGATCTCCGATCTCAGCAAATGCCAGTTCACGAAAATGACTGACGACTGATGACTGACCGAAAGTGACTAAAAGACAGACGCGCCTCAAAGTCTAGGGGCGTCGGACTTTGAGCAAAAATAGAAAACATTGCGGGCAATATCTGTCAATCATTCCTCTGATTTGCAGCCGATGTTTATATTTCTAGTTACAACTTATGTAAATGTGAAAACAAAGTGTGTAATCTATTGTAGAATGTTATTGATATCTATCACGACTTCAGCGTCAAATCAGTGCCCGGAATGACTGTAATGACTTTTTTTTTATATTTTATACAAATACAAATTGAATACATTTT